CTGAGGACATATAGAAATAGAAATGTAGGCACCTGGAGAACTTTAAGGTCAAAAAAAGCCCTATGAGGTTTAGGCCCTTTCAGTAGCAGCTGAACAGAGTTGTTAAGATTGCATTTTTAGCTGTAGGCACCTTAATTAAAATTCCTGCTTTAGGCACTTAAATCTTTTTTTGGATTTGGCCAAAACAGACTAGAGACACCAAACACCAAAATTACCTAAAATAGTCAAAGGGAACAATCTTTTCTGAGGAAAAAATACTACTATTACTACTTCTTGAGATAGGTTATTCTGTTAAAGCTATGAAAATTTACCAGAATTAAAAATCTCTTCTGTTAAGTCATATCAGCCTACTAATTCTGAATTAATTAATATTACACAAAAGGAATCACCATGAAACTTACCTTATAAAATGAGCAATGCTTCCCTCTTACTTTGTGTTAACTGACCTCAACTTCTATGCCTGATGTCATGGCCCAAATCAGTGCGCCTGTTTGTATACAGTATGACTTACAATTTGATCGTCTGATACTTAACCTCTGTTGAAAGTGCGTGCAAGATCAGATGCTATGTTGGAATTCAGGATCTTGCCTTTTTTCTATTTTATGGTGCTATATATAGTATTAAATAATGATGGTGATATTTTAAATATTTTTGGTCTGTTTCCTAATTATTCTACATTATAAATTACCTTGAACAAGGAAACTTTTAAAATCTAAATGACTGTAAATTTACCATATTTTCTCACATACAACATGTCCTGGAATATAATACATACCTTGTCTTTGAAGCCAGAATGAAAGAAAATAGTATTTCTTTGTAGTAAATAACTGAATAGCAGCAAGTTAGGGAGCAGTATGCTCCCTGTGAGTCATGTGCAGATTTTACTTTTACTTTTGCCTGTAAAAGACATAAACTGTTCTTACCATATTTCTTGCATATAATGTGCACTTGGTTTTGGGGGAAAAGTGCACAATGTATGGAAGATAACATGGTATGTAGTAGGTGCAATAATATAATTTATGATAAAATTCCCTTCAATATAATGCAGAATGGAAAAAATATACAAGAATTCCCTAATGAAAGAACTAGGGTTCTTTGGTAAAATTTTATCTAGCATACCATAAATAAAGATGGTTTACAGTGGAGTTCCAAGCCCCAGCAATGCATTGCTGCCAAAATGGCTCTTTGGGACCAATTGGCAGGCTTCATTAAATACAACAGTCTTATATCTACTCTAATTTATACCAAAGATTGGTCCAGTGCTTGAATGACCTCAGGTGCAAGGAATGAACAGTAATATAAGCTTATCTTCTTACCTCCTCACCTCCTGAGCTATGCTGAGAATAGGTATCTATAGCTCAGGATCTAGGCTCCATCATGAAATCTAGTAAATCCAATCTGCAAAGTCAGTAGGATCATTTATCCATTTAAGTGCTTTGCTGATTTTGAACAATAAATGGTGAGCATATTGGGCTGAGGATGTCATTTATTCTATATTTGGTGAGGCCTCTAGGCACCACAGCAATATAAATAATAAATAATGGGAAGAAGACTGCAGGACTGGACTTTTATTATGTATATGATGTTAAGGCATTTTATAAATTTGTTCACTATAGTACAAGAGCAAAACCTTGGAAATTATAAGAAAATGTTATGGGTATATTTTAACGTATGTGTGTATTTTCTCACACACACATATACATGTTCATCTTATGTGCTACAGCATTAGAAGCCAACCTTTTTGGCAGGCATGCCACAGATTAAACCTCATGTCTTCCCTAGGTGCCCCTCAAATCCCCTTCTGCTGCCATATCTGTTGCACTGGTTTCAGCTCCATGACCTGTACTCCCTGACTGATCTGCTGCTTTGCTTTCTGCTCCCTACCCTATGTTTCCTGCCCAATCTGATGCTCTTTCTTCTCTCTGCCTTATCTGTCACTGTGCTGCCTGCCCTTTCCCTGAATTTCTGCATGACATATTGAGTCTGCCCATACCACTTGTGCCACAAATTGGCCACCACTGTGATATAGAATGATTTGAAACAATCATGATTTATTTCATTTTATCACTTAAAAATGAGGTATATTGCACCTGCAGTAAATCAGAAATTTTATTCTAAATACAATCTCCATAAAATGTATGTTGGAAATTTTCTGAGGATTGTTTCTACAGTAGAAATGTATCATTAATAATTTACTGCAGTTGTAATATAGGATGACCATATAGGACAAGGTGAAATCCAGGACACTGCTCCCCTCAGCCCCCACAAGTCAAGGGTGCAGCAGTTCATGGTATTACTATTCAGGAAGCTAAGGGAGTCAATGGCATAGGGAGACAGCAGCTAAGGGAGCCATTGTTTTTTACTTCACAGGAGTTAATAATCAACTCCCCCTTTCAATTGTCATTTCACTAATCAAGCTCCCTTAGCTGCTGTCTCCCTATGCCATTGACTCCCTTAGCTTCCTGAATAATAATACCATGAACTCCTGCACCCTTGACTTGTGGGGGCTGAGGGAAACAGTGTCCTGGATTTCACCTTGTCCTATACGGTCATCCTATATTACAATTGCAGTAAATTATTAATGATACATTTCTACTGTAGAAACAATCCTCAGAAAATTTCCAACATACATTTTATGGAGATTGTATTTAGAATATATATATATATATATATCCAAACACCATCTTGAAAACAATAAGAAAAAATTATGGATACATTTTAACTTGCACTTGCACACTCTCCCTCTCCCCCAACCCCCCACATATATATTTCATGCACAAATACTACAGCATGAAAGCTTTGGATGCTCTGACAATGGGCAGATGTTCTAGGGAGGAGACGTGATATCAGAAGGTAGGATCAATCTCACCAGAATTGGAAAATGCATCTTTAGGCACTATTTGGCCACTCTAGTAAGGAGGACTTTATACTAGACTCCATGTTGGATAGTGAACAAAACCCTCCATCAACAAAGCAAACAATCCAGAAGGACAAGGATGAGAAGAAGAAGCTCAACTCGGGGAAATGTCTACAAAGCCACAGGACACCAACAAAGCATGTAACAGGTAAACAAGTAGGTCATAATTCACAATATGCTTGATGTATACACATGTTAGAACTATGCAGAACAAAGAAGATGAGCTGTACATTACAGCCTATGAACATAACCATGAAATGATTGGTATCACAAAGACTTGATGGGACAACTCTTATGACTGGAAGTCAACATGGAGGGCTACAATCAGTTTTGGAAGGACAGGATTGAAAGAAAAGGTGATGGCATCTTATACGTCAAAAATATGTATATTTATTCTCTCTTCAGAAGAAAGAATGTCACAGATGACAATGTATTTGGGCAAAGAAAAAAGGTGAAAGATAAAGCACTTATGTAGTGATGGGTATTTATTATAGAGCACCAAGTCAGGAATAAATGGTTAAGGCACTCTTCAAGGTGGTGAAAAAAATATCCGCAAGTTATGAGATAATATTGATGGGAGACTTCATTGTCTAGCCATCTGCTTGGAAGAACAATACATAAACTGTTGAGCAAGTTCCTCACTTGCATGGAAGAAAAATTTTGTTTCAGAAGTTAAGGATACAACTAGGGGATCACCTATCTAAGATCATGGTCTAACCAACAGGGAAGAACTTTTGTAGGATATGAAGGTGATGGGAAACTTGGAAGGATGTGATCACAGTATGATAGACTTTATGATCCAGACACTGGGAAAGCATGAGGTCAGCAGAACTAAGACAATGGATCTCAGAAAGATGGATTCAATTGACTCAGTTGGGAGATAGTGCCATGGAAGGAAAAATGGTATGACAAAGGTGCCCAGGCAAACTGGAAGCTTCTAAAGGGCACGGTTTGTAAACCCAAGAAGAAATTATTCCAATATAATGGAAGCATAAACAAAAGAGCAAAAGAACAATGGAGCCACACAAGAAGCTTCTAGGATTGTTCAAATGCAAAAGGAAAGAATACAGGGAATAGAAAGATGGGTTGGGCTCCAAGAAAGTATACTAGGAAATGGCAAACATTGCAGGGACAAAATCAGGACACCAAAGGTAAAAAATGAGCTTGCTACAAATATAGATAGACAGCTGGCTCAATAGCTGCAGGCAAAGTGTAATTATAAATGGATCCACATCCATTTATAAGAGTTTTCAAGGGAAGTCCTGAAGGGGTCTGTCCTGGGCCCAATGCCGCTTTGTTTGTTAAAGAGTTGGGTGTGAAAATAGTAAACCTCTTGAGTACTTTTTCATACAACATGAAAATTGAGAAGGACTGTGAACACAGAGGATAGGAGTGCAATTCAGAAGGACCCTGACAGATTGGAAACTTGGACTGGAAGCAAAAGGATGAATTCCAATGCTGACAAGTGCAAGATGCTCCACTTTGGGAAGAATAATTAAAAATACAAATTCCAAACATGTGACAACTGGCTGAAAAACTATGGTGAAGGACCTAGGAATCTTGGTGAGTCATAAACAATATGAATCTGCAGTGTGATACAGATGCAGAAAAGGTGAATGTGGTTTTGGACTACATGTTTATGTGTGTAGACACATACGTATTCATATGCAGACAAGTCATATCTGATGTATTATCTTGCATGTGTGTGTTTTTATATGTGTCCATGCATACTGACACACAATTATATAACATTAAAAAGTAGCCATACCATTCTTATAATTTACAAGATTTTGCTATATATATAGCTTGTAAAGTAGAAATTAGTGAAGATCAATACACTGCAGCTGTAACACCTCATTTTTAAGTGATAAAGTGAAAGTAATCATACTTGTTTCAAATCATTCTGTAGCACATAAGATGAACATTCACTGATAGCAATAATAATCAGTAAGAAATGAATGGTGACTTTGAAGCCTATTGTCTTCTAATCTTTACTGAGAATGACGAAAATTATGTTGCCTCATATGTGCTTTTAAAGTCTTCAGTGAAGACTCGTTAATTTAGCTCCATGTTTTCTTCACAGAGATCTAAAATTGCAGTGTTTGATAAAATGTGGACATATATGAAAAGTGCAGAGCCATCTGTGTTTGTGAGGACTACAGCAGAAGGGGTATCCCGGGTACGGAAGTCCAAAGGAAAATATGCCTACTTGCTGGAGTCAACCATGAATGAGTACATCGAACAAAGGAAACCGTGTGACACCATGAAAGTTGGTGGGAATTTGGATTCCAAAGGCTACGGCATCGCCACACCTAAAGGATCCTCATTAAGGTGGGTGGAATAGTATAACAATATGCTAAATGTTGTTATAGTATCCCACCTACCCTGATGTATCTTTACTAATGTCTATGGTTTGTATAAGGATCTGAGGTAACTCTCAAAACATGGAATTTCAATACACTATATGAAAATGAAATTACCTATGGTGACATTACTGACAAACATTTAAATTCTTTCTTAAATTTCCTGCAGGTTTTCTAACCATGTAAACATTCCTTTTATTATTATTATTATTATTATTATTATTATTATTATTTAAACATTCCAGTTTTAAGGAATTGTTTTCTTATTTCTTTTCCTTTTTTTTTTTAGATTTGCTTTTCACGTTACTAGCTTATAGTGTGAGTCTATTTCCTCATACCTTGTAGAAAACGTCGCTCTGCTTACGAAACTAAAACCGAATGGCTGCATTTGAACAGTAAACCGAAGTAACTAACAAAATGTGCCATTGTTTAAAGAGGGCTATGCTTGGGGACAGGATAATGTGCTTTGAATTTCTTTGCACACATCTCTTTACTATGTAGTTAACTCTTTGTATTCCTATTTTGTTGTTTGTTTTTTTTTAGTGGAGTCACATTCAAGACACTGTTATTTGTTTGTTGTGGATGTGAGTACATTGCTGTAGAATATAGAACTCCCCATATTAGCCCTCTTTCCTT